TCTTTGTGACTGGCTCAGCCCACCCTGGGGGCGGGGCTGGCCAGCATGTGATGTGGTGCTGGGGATTGAACCGTGATTCCTGTGTGCTTGCCTAGGCAGGCACTTTAGACTGCTAAGCTATCTTGCTGGCCCACTACAGTAATCTCAATCCCAAATTGTTTCATGAGATTGAGAATAGTAGGCAACTGGAATAACTGGAAGCAACTATGAATCATTTCAGTACAGCAAGGCAATACTCACGCCCTCTTGATATATAGATACAGATATCTCCGTGGACATATATCTATGTCTATAGCTATAGCTATCTATCTATATGGGAGGAGAGAGATGTAGACCCATGACTCCATAGCAGTTTTCTGAAATCCAAAAAGCTTTACAATTCAAAGGTTCTTGGAATTTATTTGGTATCCAAACCTATATTTATTTGGTTTCAAAATAAAGAAATATCTTCATATATGTTTATAGCACTTGTAGATGTGAGAAAAAATGGTAGACATGTTAATAGTCTTTATTAGAGGTACTATTCTAGACTGCTCTGGGAATGTTAATGTATAGTACATGTGTTATGTAGCCTTCCTAAACAACTTTGCATTCTGCAGTACAGCTGAGCCCAGGAATTTTAGGTAAGGGATTGAAGATTCATTATTTCATTTTTAAATCTATAATATCAGTAGTTACTGATTCTGTAGAGCCAGCTCCATGAAGTGTTACATACATCACAGGAGAGGAAGCCATTTCCTCATCTTAAATTTCTTTTAGTCCATATCAGACACCAAATTCTTTGGAGAGTCCCCTTTGAGGCCTCTTGGAATTCAGTCATGTAACTCTACACTAATCAGGCTGCAGAGTAGAAAGGAGCCAGTAAACCCGATGCTTTTTCCTTTGAGATATGAGGAAATGGGTGAGGAGGGACGGGATTCAGAGGGAAGTAAGCAAGATCCCTTCTCCTCAGGTATTTTCAGATTGCAAATACAAACCACTGGCCACCCTTAGCACCAACGTTCCCATCCTGTCCTGTGGAGGGCTGGCCAAGCGCTGGCTGGTTCCAGGCTGGAGATTGGGCTGGATCCTCATCCATGACCGAAGAAATATTTTTGGCAATGAGGTGAGAATGATGTGGGAAAACAGCATGAGTAATTTAGAACATATATTTGCACAGTGGTGGAGAGGTAGGAATTTTTTTCCCCTTTCTTGGCTCTATAGTTCATAGTATCTGGAAACCTGCTGGGTAATAATAGTAACAGTTCTCTCCCAGCTCAGTTTTCATGTGTCTGGATCTGGGAAGAAGTTCTACCTCCAACTTTAAGACTTCAGGAAAGGGAATCAGTAACAGTTATGACAGCTGATACTGTAAATCCTCAAACCAGGATGCATGTGAGTGGCTAACTAAAGTGTTTCCTGGATCCTTCCAGATCCGAGATGGGCTGGTGAAGCTGACTCAACGGATCTTGGGACCTTGCACCATTGTCCAGGGAGCTCTGAAAAGCATCCTGCATCGCACCCCACAAGAGTTCTACCACAACACTCTAAGCTTCCTCAAGGTAAGAGCAGCTCATGCCCTTTTCCTTGGGGAGTTTGGGAGATAGAGAATGCCTCCAGTTGTATTAGGAGCAACTGGTCCTCATTTCTGGAATAGAGTTCCAAGATGGGGCTTCTGAACCACAGGATGGCTTCAGTGTAGCAACCCACACACTCCTCTTACTTCTTCAATTCATTCTGCTCCTGGCCATTGACTTCAAGTTATGGGTGTTTTTCTTTAGACTCTAAATGTCAGATCACACCTAGCTTACTGGCCTTCAATAATGACAGCTCGACTATAATTCCATCATTTTTCTTCTACTTAAAATTTGATTCTTGACATCTCACTGCCTCTTCTTACAGTCCAATGCTGATCTCTGCTTTGAGACATTGTCTGCAGTGCCTGGACTCCAGCCAATCTGCCCTTCTGGGGCCATGTACCTCATGGTGAGTATGTAGGGAACAGGCGTTAGATCTATGCATGTCATAAAGCACAGGGCGGGTGTTGAACTCAAGGCTGCCACAGATAGCTGCCCCAGGTGTGTGCCATTCACAAAAGACAATGGGCGAGTTCCTCAGCCAGTCAGTTGAGGACTTATTCTGAATTGTCTCACCAATATGACCTAATCTCAATGTTCATG